TAATGAGAATCTTTGTTGTAACCAGTAATCAAATAGTTTGATGGAATAAACTATTGAAAAAGAAGTTGAGAATTTTAATTTTTTGAATTCAAAGATAGAGAAAATTCATATTCAAATCAAGTTCAACTCAAATTAATAAATTATCTATTCCTAAAACAGAGTAATTGTGAGAGTGTATATTTATATTATAACTTAAAATAAAGAACATAAGGTCATGATGTCCTTGATAAAAAAGAAATGTTTAATAATATGGATCAAATCCATAATCTTTCATGGCAAGGTTACTATGGAAAAAACAAAGAGAATCATGGTAAATGGATTGCTTTTTGGAATAAAGATCTTCTAATAAATGTTGGCGGATAAAGTTAAATTATTTATTATATTCTATGTTATAAAGATGGGTAAAAGAAAGCACCACGGAAAGACCCATTCCTAAATGATATGAAGTAATTGAATTTTTGACATTATGAATAGATAATCGCAAATTTTAGAAACTGGTGAATATTATTATGACTTTAGAATTGGAAAATGGAATATTATTTTTTAAAATGTGAAAATGTATATATTTTAAAAATTGGTTAGTGGTGGTGGTATTAAGTAAGGTAAATGGGTTGAGCTAGATGAAGGATTTTATCTTTGTAATAGGTTACTTTTAAAGGTGAATATAATATTAATGGCGTGAAGATAGGCCTATGGGATATTATGTATGATGGGGATGGAAAGAGATCTAAATAACTGTAAAAAATATATAAGAATAAGAAAAATGTATTTAGTGGTGGTGGATCATATGACTAAGAAGGAAATTAGTAAAAGATTGGAAAATGGGTAGAAATAGATGATGGGTATTATAAAGAGAATTTGGTTATATATAATGGTTTATATAATATTAAAGGTAAGAAGATAGGTCTATGGTGTACTATGTAGTGTTTCAATGGAGAGAAGGAATATAAATAAATGTAAACAATATAAAATTATATAGTGGTGGTGGATAATATGATTAAGAAGGAAATTAGAAAAAGATTGGGAGGTGGGTTAAATTGGATGAAGGGTTTAGTTTTTCTAAATATGTCATTCACAATGGTGAATACAACATAAATGGTATGAAGGTAGGTAAATGGGATATTTTGCATTGTAATGATGGAGAGGAGGAATATAAATAAATGTAAATATTTTATTATTATAAGTAGAATATCAATAAAAAGTGGTGGTGGATTATATGATTACGAAGGAACTTAGAAAATTTAAATTCAATAATATTTAATTAACATAAATTATAAAATTTATTATAAATACAACATTGTTTAAAGTAAACATTGATTTTTTAATTTCTCAAAAAATCAATGAACATTTATTGTATTTATGATTTTATTTCAAATTATTGAGATATAGTTTATTTGAACTTTCCAACCCTTATAAATTATTAATATTTCAAAAATCTTAGGTTGATTTTGATAGAGTGACTATTTTTTGCAATATTCATTATCCAACTCTGTTAAAATTTTTTAAGATACATTAGATTAAATCTTATAATTCTATCTCTTTTTTCTTTTCGGTATATTAGAATTTTCTTTTATTGTTATATAAACGCAAACCTAATTTGTAAATATTTTTCTTTTTACATAACTTCTTAAGACTGTTTTGTAATATTGCAGGCAATAATCTAGTCAGTCATTTATTAAATAACACAAAATGCAGCATTTTGTAATTAAGCAAAAAATAGAGCAGTTTTCTCAAATTATTATGATTAAGGCTGGATGGTTATAGGTTATACAACAGCAATAGAAAGATCATTAAAAATTTCGGCTTATCTGCATACATAATATCAATTATTTTCTTCCCATTATAACACCTAATTAATTAATACCTCATACATGAAGAGCTTTTCATTTTAACTCATTTTGATATATCCCAAATAAAAAATTTGCCTCTAGTAAACGATAATTTTTCAGATAAAATTAGGACTTATATATCAACTATGATATTAATATAATCGAAGATTTACTTTTCTAGTAGTATAGAATCGTGTGGACTAATAGGGCTTTAGATTTATGCAAAGAACTATATTTAATTTAAGTATTAGAAAGGGCAGGGAGTTATTATGCTACTTAAGTGTATGTGAATATTCACATGGGAACAAATAGTCTCTAAGTGGAATAGAAAATTTAGAGAGGATTTAATGAGTAAATTAAGTCTAAGAACTTAAAACATTCTTTGTTTAATGATTATTTTTCATGGAATTTAAGGTAATAATAATAGCATCTAATCCAAATAAGTATGTTTTCAGAGAAAGAGATATAGCGGTATAGCTTTAAGTTTAGTTATGGCGAGATTAGGTAATTTTATGAAAAAATGGAACTAAAAAATTTCACAAAATCAGTAATTAATTGATAGCTATAAAATAGCTGTTAATAATGCTTGAGATCGTGGTTATTATTCATTTAAATCTCTTAAAAATATAAGTATTTCTATTATTTTTAATAATAATTTTTTTGCATCTTAATTAAGTTAGTTCTCTAATTCATAAATTAGATGAGAAATAAATAATTACGATTAATTAATACTACTCTACCTAATTTATCTTGTCTATCAGTTCTAACCAATCCTTAAAATTAAATTCTAATATTTTGTGGTAGTTCTCCATTTTTTACTAATTGTTCATTAGTAGTTAAAGTATTCCACTGCAGTTAAATTTATTGCAACTTCCTAAAAAAATACTATTTTGACAATCAATCTGCAGCACCAATAATTCCAAGGATTCTTGAAGTACGCTACCATTTATGATTTCAATAATAGGAGAATCCCCATATAAGATCAAATTCTTTTAGATTGTAAGCTGAAAAGCTTTAAGTAATACAAGAAATAATGTTGCTTACTTGTGCTATCCTTTTCAAAAAATGCATAAGGTTCAAAAAAAAAAAAAAGAACTCATCATATAAATTAGCTTTAAGGATTTGTCTGACCATGTTTTAATACAAAAAACACTTTAAATATCAGCAAATAATAGAAAAAGTATTTCTTTACTAAATTTAAAAAAAAGAATGATCTGTTAGTCAACAATTTGCTGCGATTAATTTCTCTGAATTTAGTTACTTCTATCACTTTATAAAAATTTCAAACAGAATTTAATACTAACCTAAAAAGTTCCTACCCTTAAGCCATTAACAATTTCTGATTTATAAGAATTTCATAATTGGAAATGCTCATATTTTGATTTAAATGAATTTATATAACACATGTTGGCAATTAAAGTATTTAAGAATATAAAATTATGCGAAATTGATAATTTTATTGGATGGCTGTTTTTAATGTCAATACATTGTTAACATGAAAGTTAATTATATGTAAATGTATAACGTATGTGAAACAATCTAAATATATAATAAGAGTTTTTAAAGTATAACCTAAAACACTATTTAATAGGTTTTTGACTTATCATTATATATAAGAGCTATTTCTTTAATCTCTTTACTTGAACTATTTCTTTAGCTGAAAAATACAAATGCCAAAGCAAAGCTTATCCCACTATACAGTATAAAGTTTTCCTTCAAATTATAATTAGTTATGAATACTCTAATTAATTGATTAAAATTACCCTTTAATAAGTATATGTTCAAACAAAAGCTTAATTATAATTAACTTCTGGAAAAAAAATATTTATGTTATGATATGAAAATAACATAAT